TCCCATTCCCTCAAATCTTTGTAGGGGGATGGGGGAGCCCAGGCCGGCATGGGAAGTGCACAGCCATGCTGACAGTCACAGGTGCATGAGAAGCAGAGTCATGGCTCTTGTCACAGAAATAGGTTCAGCTCCTATAAATCCAACTTGCTCCAGCTGCCATTGCCAGGCTTTGGGTGATGCCTGATCAATCCCTTGGTTCCTTCTGCCTGGGGGTGGCCCAAACTTGGCCCAAACACTGTGGCATACCCTGGCAGCCTGCAAAACTGGTGACTTTCATGTGCTCCTCTCAAGCAGGTGCCTCCACAAAGCCTTAGAGGGTGGGATAATTAAACCACATCATACTTAGGAGGTCACCTCTATACCCTGAACCTCAGAAGCACTGGTAGGCCAAGCAGGCTGACATAGAAACAATTCCAGGCTCACTGGTGGCTGAGTTTCTTAGCATAAGCCTTGTGGATTTGGGGTGATAGAGGTTCATGATAAAACATTCCAGGTTTTCGGCCTGCTTTTTCTATTTTTTCCCCCATGAGAAAAAGAAATGAAAAGTCTCTTCTGAGCCCACTATTTCCTACCAGGGGGAAAAATTCCCAGGAATTTGCTATAGATCCTGTGATGCCAAAAGTGATTTTCAGTGAAAGGTGTATATACAATTCCTGGACTAGCTTGTTCATAAATTTATTTTGAAAACTTTCTTTTGGGGTTTCTATCTAATAGTGATATGATCCTAATGAAGAGTAAAATCAGAACAAAACAAACCTTCTTTCAGTTGTTTTCTTGACCCTCTCTCCTCGTGTGCACACCTGGGCTGTAGTTTGCGTGTACGTGTGTTGTTTTTTGATGAGTGTTCAGCCTCCCCTCTCTTTCTTACCACCAACAGTGCTGGCTGGTGGGAGATCAGAAATCCCTTTAGGAGCAGAGGTCTGCGACACCTGCCCGAGCTGTATTTCAATGAAGGGCAAGTGCCATATGTATAACATTTTTGAGAAAATACTTCTGGAAGTGCAGGGCACTCAGCCAAGGTTATGGTCTTTCTGTGGCTGAGGGGTGATGGGCTGCAATGTCCTCTCAGAAACACACACCTCTGACCTTTGGTTGGCCCACTGTGTGTCTGCAAACAGGCACGAGCAGCACGAATGGCAGCAGGCAGGATTGTCACCCGGGCAGTGTAAAGCCGGCAGAACAAGTGGGAATCTGCCACCTTAGTGCAGCAGTTGTCCCCGGCCTGCCAAAGAAAGCATTTTGCAAGCATCTCTGGTGCCATGCAGGGGACTTACCAGCAGGCTGAGGTCCAGGAAAGGCACTTGCTGCATGAGACTTCTCTCATGTTGAAGGGACTGAGTTAGCAGAAGGCAGGAGGGAGCTTGGGAAGCAGACAAAAAAATCAGCAAAAAAGCATGAAGGGAAGTGTTGCTGTGAGAACCAGCTGACGGTCAGTGGGGCAGAGCCCAGGCAGAACTGCCCGACCTGGCCGGCTGCTGCCGGACACCGGGCACAGACCAGAGAGAGCAAGTGCTGACAGCACCCCGAGCACAGGCTCCCACTGTAAGGCAAATACTCTGTGGTTTGAACAAATACTGTGGACGGAGTTTGGGGAATTTCTTGGAAACCCTCATGCTAAAGTCTGTAACTCTGAAATTAGTGATTAGGCTGCAAAAAATGTGTCTGAAGTGTGATTTAAGGTGTGAACGTGTCAGGCCGTATCTCTGCTGATGTTTTGTCAGTCAAAGCCCCAGAGAAACAGCAGGCAGTAACGAGTCCCCCAGCCTTTCACTGCTGACTTGTGACTCTGACTTTCCCTCATCTCACACCAGCACACAGTAAATTCTTCCAACCTGTCACATTTATCTTGGAAAGTGACTTCTCAAGGAAGGGGAGTATCTCTCCTCCTATTTCCTTTTCCCTCTCAGAGAAGAGCCTCTTCCTCTTCCATAACATAATGAACTCAAAATCTATTATATATATTTTTTTCCATGATTTTATGAAAAATTCAAGCCAACTTCTACCTGCCTGCAGTGGGAGATGCTAGGACTGAGACAGTGAGAGGGGAAAGGCTTATCAAACCAATGACTGCATTTAACTTATGTTGCTTGTTTCTCCCTCTCCTTGGAGAGACATACAAATGAAAATTCAAGAGACCAGAATAAAAAAAGCGTGACTAGGTAGAGGGTGGCATTAGCAACAAAATGGGAAAGGACATTTTGTTTGTGTTGCAACAGGATCTATTTTTAAGAGCTTGATGTATGTTTCATGTCATAAAATCACTTCTGGGATTATTTTTTCTAAAAAACCAATAAAAAATAATGCCCATGCCCACTGCAGAGAGCACTAAAATAGTCCACTCCAGCCACTTCAGACAGGATGTATGGAAACAATCAGCATTAGTCTGAGGTAAGAACAAATAGAGGCAACTATCTGATGACGCAGAATAAAGAGAGAAGAGCTGGATTTTGCTCAAGTAGATTGAATGAGCCAGTGGCATTGGAAGGATTATTAGGGATGATGGAATTGATAATTTGTTTGACCTAGGAACTGCTCTAATTGGTGGCTGTCCCTTTGAATATGAATATCCCATTGAATATTTGCAGTAACTCTCCTTGAAACAAAACAAATGTGTTCAGATCTCTTCTGGGTTAGGAGGGAGGCTGTTTTTACTTCAGAGGTGGGGGAGGGTGATCAGATGTCATTCAGTGCTTTAAAACATGCTCTTTCTTGAACTGGCAGGAGCATCTCTCAGTGATTGTTTTTTCTATGTATAGCTCTAATTAAAGGTCTGGGTTTCAATTAGTCTGTTGTTTTCCTGGCCTATAATATCACATGTTGGTCAGAACATTTTGTTTTAAGCAGAAAGCTCACCTGTAAGGGCCCAGCCAGTACACATACTGCTCTGAGGTATTTTTAGTTATAGATGAGGTGGGATTTTAAATATGAATAGGGGAACGAGGTATCCAGGTCCTAGTGAAATTCACTTCGATGCAAGTATAACTTTAAAAATGAGCTAGTAAGTTGTGTAAACATGAGTGGGAAGGAGCCTTTTTTTCTTGATAAACACTATTTAAGCTCTGAGGTATCAGAGGGACCTTGTCTCCTCATGAAGTCTTCTACAGCATCTCTACCAAAGGTTACCATCTTGACAGGAGTGTGGCTCCCCCACAGGAAAACCTCTCTTTCCAAGTCTAACCAGGGAGAGACTTGAACCAACTGGCAGTGTGTGAGGGAGACACTATCCCTGACGTCCCCTGGGAGCCCCTCTGCTCCTAATTTCCTTTGCCTGACCCAGCCCTCCACTCCCCCTGCCTCTGCTTCGGGCAGGTTGCCTGACCTTGTGTGTCATCTCAGGAATGATTTTCAAGCCTCAGGACAGCGGGAGAGCAGCAGGTGACACGTGTGAGCCACGTGGGCGAGATGCAGTAGCTCTTTCAGGTTGATTTGTATTGCTGTGGAAGATCACAGCCCGCCTTCACTGACCTGCTTTACCTGAGGGATAAACCCAAGTCCAGGCTGCTGCCTCTTGTCTTTTACTCTGCTATTTCTTAAGCTTTTATAAGAAACACTGTATTTTACAGAGTTAAATGGCACAATAATTGAGAAATATATCTTTATTATTAGAACATTTATATTCTAAAAATTTTTATCTGGGGTTACAGTACAATCCAATTTCTTCCTAATTAACTAACCTGGCATATTTCAGCAAGTAACTGTAAATTAGGCTCTGAAAAGTTTAAGAACATGCAACTTCTTTTACTCTTTTCCTCCCCCAAAAGGACAACTTACAGTCAAGATTTTGGCATGATAAATAATAAAATAAACATCTTATTTGTGAACTAGTATTTGCACTTAACTTTGGTGACTAACAGAACAGATAGGCATTTAAAAATAAAAATATTCTTTCAGTGTCAAGTGGATAAAGAAACAGATTAATATACTTTAATTTATTATCTTTCTAAAGTTTACCTTTATGACCTTCAATAAAGGTAATTTATTCAGGTTTGTAAATGTGGGAAGCAATAGAAAAAAACCCAAGGATGCTTCTATTTTGTAGCTTGCCTATAAAAGTTGTCGTAACACACAATCTGACCCAAGCCCATGCAACACAATGAACAGCTCCTTTTCACCACACACAATGCCTAGCATAAGGCCAAGTGTGGCCTTGTGACGTAGTTAAATAAATATTAAAATATCATTACAACCTAAATACCTGAATTGGTCTTACACTGTGACTTTCTACTGAAACAGTGCTGAGAAACTTTAAACATATATCTGATTGTTCTATATATACTATTTAAAATAAAAGTGAGGAATAATACTCTCTTTCTTCACTCTGCTACTTTCTGGGAGGTCTGTACACTGACAAATGTATGACATCTGTAGTTACCCGATCACAGCTGACTGATCAGTCATCTTCTGCTTTAAAAATATTGCAACTCTGGTGCTTATTGCAGCAGTAATCATAGTGATACACTGTCTTTTAATACTCAGTTCTGCTTACAGACATAGTTATAAAAAATGAAAAACATTTTTCACAAATCTTTGTACACATACTGTAAAAATCACCTTCCACATAAACAATTTACACCTGTTATGAGCATTTAAAAAATAAATCACAGAGACTTGTCTCACCTATCCTTTCTTTTTCTTGAGAAAACAAATCTCATCAGTAACATCATCAGGATGTTCATATCTGTAAACATGGCATAAGGATTCATGTTACCAAAAAACTGTACACGCAAAAAATCATCTTGATAAATAAATACTCTTGATAAATAAGGATCCTTTTAATTGGCACAAACCAATGTAAACATGTGCATTCCTGTTTTGCTGTCACCTCTAACTTCCTTGCACTTGGGCATTTTGTTGAAATTCAGGGATCTCTCAGTCCTGTAAGGATTCTTCAGAGACAAAAATGTGAAGGGATTGGGTTACGATGGTGGCGATTTAGGCCTCTCATGCCTAAGAACAAGCACAGGCGTTGGCCACCATGCCCCGCAGTAACATGTTGCTTTAGCCTGTCACTCACTGTGCCACAGCTGACAACCTGCCACTGGCTCTTGGCACTGAAACTCCTCTGGCTCAATTGGGTCTGGGCTTGTCAGAGCTGCAGTACCAGCTTCTGGTTTCCTTGTTAAGTGACACCAGAGGAGCCCAAACTTGTACCAACAGAACAGTGTGGCTGCTGGTAAGATTGAGTGGTTTAATGTATCCAATACAACATGGAAATGTGTCAGACTGGGCCTATATCAGGAAATCCAGGGTAGCAATCTACTGCTGTAAACAGCCTTCAGGCAACTCAAGTAGGCTTTTTGCATCTGTCTGTGCAGGTAACAGTTAGTCATTGATCTTACAACAACCTAAGCTGAAAGACTGGATATTTAGGTGCCGATTAAATGGATTCTTCTGAACTTCGGCAACAACACAGATGGAAAATAAATTACCAGGCCGCATGCTGCCAGTAAAATAATTAAACATACAGCCACAGTACTGCCCAGCAAGATAACTGCAGTCATTTAAAATAAGCTCCATAAATGACTAAATAAATAAATGAATAAATGAATGAATAAATAGAAAAACCTCCAAGTAAACTGAATAAAACGTCACTTCTCTTACGGCGCCCAAAGAGGGAATGGCGTTACTAAATAATATAAATCTTCCATATGTATATATTTCTATATATTATAGCTGATATGTTTTGGCATGGGCAGATGGATAGGAAAAAGTGGGATGACTAACTTGGTTCAATATTTGTTGTGTCGAAGCCAAGTTCCTGCGTTACTGCGTATTGCTCACCGCTCCTGTAGCGGCTTGGCCTTTTTACTCATCTTTGATTTTGAGCTCACTTTCCTGGCAGAGCAGACTGGTTCACCCTTCTTTTGTGCTCTCCATATCTCCCTTGGGCAATCAACAGGTTCATAGAAGCATTTTACTGGCTGCAAGCTGGTCTTTTCATCCTTTGCCTTTTTCAACAAGATTCTTCCTTTCTGAAAGGAATGAGGCTTTGCATCAGGCATGTTATATGAAGCGTGTTGACTTCCTCGGCTCCTGAAATTAATAACAGTGGTCATTAATAACTATTATTCAATCTTGCAAAGTGATAGGTCCCCAAAATACCCCAAACCCAAACATTTTTGAAGACAAAAATAGCCTTGTTTTACAGAACCAGGATGCATGTTAAAAACAGAATTGCAAGATGAATCACATTTCTCGGGGCTCAAAAGCCTTCCTCACTAAAATATTACCCACATGTGTTACTGGTGGGCTCTTTGTGCATGTTCATCTAACTTTTATCCCAATCAGCATTCTGCTGATTTTGGAGTGCTGAGACCTTACTGGGGTCTGTACTTTGTGATCAGCAGGGATTTTGAAGATGCACAGGTTCACAGTAACCTTCTGCAAAGAATGAACATCCCATGGTCTCTGGAAGACCACACAGCACATGTTACAGTAGAAAGTGGGTGGAGGAACTGTAGGAATTTCTTGGTGGGATCTCAGTGCTGCCTTGGAGCTCCCCCAGGGAGCTGCTGCTGTTACTAATGGTCAATACCACAGCAAACTCCACACTCTGCTTTTGTGCTGACCACACACCCAAAGGGAAACTTCAGCTTTGCTTTTAAGCTTTGATTTGAAATGGGAGAAGAGGAAAGGTGAATAAAAAAATTGGTGGGAAGAAGGGTGTGAAAGCTTAAAGGCCAAAGTAAGAGGAATGCTTTGTTCTCTCTGTGACGGTTCAAGCCCAGCAGGATTTGCAGAAATTGGTGAGCTCAGGTGGACTGAAAGCACAGTGCCTGGTGCTGCAAAGGCTGAACCACACACTCTGCTCTAAAATTTTACATTGAAACTGCAGTTCCACAGTTTAGCTAAGTAAGATCATTTCAGCCCCTTTTAGCATAATTTTGAAATGTTTTACAGCAGATACATCTCGTGTAAGAGCAGAACTATGAACATAAGGCACCAGCTCATGTCTGCCCAGCTCCTGTGACTGAAGTGAAGAACAGATGTGCTCATGTACAAGTCGATCTCTTAAGGGATCCCATAGGACTATTTTCCATAGCTTGTTATTTCTCAAAACCATGTATCTGTAGTATTACTTCTGGAAATTTTATGATATTGCAGCACACTTGATGAAGCCAGTTTTGGAAAAAGCTATGGTTATTCAAGTGTGTGTACAGTACAGACTCTCTCCTGCTCTTTAAAAAGACCAGAAGGGTGTCATGAAAGCCTCTGTATTTGTTGACGGGAGGCAGCGAGGACCAGCTGTATTACCTGGATGGCAGCTTTGCCAACCATAATTCACCAGGGGAAGTTCTGAGAGGTGAAATGCTGTGCAGGTCCAAGCTGGAGCTTGCAGGCGCTGTGCCATGCTGCCCTGGTGCAGGCCTGGGCTCTGACCACTTGCTGGGAGTTAGGAATGACTTGTGTGTCAACACAGGTTGTTGGCCACTCCAGTTTACAACTGGTTCTTGGGCACTGTTTGTTACAGTTATTGTTAAAAGATGCAGCACTCTGTTTTTCTCAGATGTTGTAGTGAGAAAGTTACATCATTTATTCCCTGAACACATGCAGGCATTATTGCAGGTGACTGCAGGTGCTGTAAGGCACTCCTGAATGATGCCATTGAAACCAGAAGGTCGAGGTTAATATGGTCAGAGGGGACTGCCTAAAGGGGCCAATTTAAATTGAACGAGTTTATGGCAGAGAAGATGGATGTCTGTCCCTAATTCACAGTCAGGCTAAGAAGGTACCCAAGAAGGTACCACTTGGCCAAGGAGCACATATGATGCTCCAAATCACCTGCTGGGACTCATGACCAAGTCCCAAAGACATGGACACCAGCCCCAGTTGGTTCTGCTGCTTCCAGGACAGCTGCTGGAGTAACCAGAGATGATGTTAGTGCCTGTGCTTTGTCAGGGCACTTGTCTGCTTACACGTGATTTTTAGGTCTACAGTGTTACTGTCAGTTAGGAAATGACAACTGTCTCTCTCCTACCTACAGAATGTTAAAGGAATTTTCAACTGAAACCGGGTCTGTGTTTGCCAAAGAGATTCAACTCCTGTAGCTTTGCAGTAGGCTGTTACAGTCAGCAGGAAGGAGTAATTCATTTAACAGAAAATTTGTCTTCTTTATTTTCTTTAGAGAGTATCTGATTTTAGCTTTAATTTAGCAGAAATCTGGTTTTCCTCCATTATATAGATTATAAATATAGATCATACACAGGTAAAGAACCTGATCCAAACCCAACCTGAATCAGGCTTTTGGATAACGTGAAATGCAAAAGCAGAAAGGTAAACATGTCAACTTAGTGTATTTAAGAAAGAGAAAAAAAAAGAGATATACATACAGGCATCTGGGTTTCTTATTTAATGAAATGTCTGTAAACTGCAATGAAAACAAAACCAGGTTATTAATATTACATTATCAAGTAACTAAAGTACAAGGATAAAATATACAAAGTCTTTAAAATTGTATTTCCATTCTCACCTGCTGTTAAAACTAGAAGAACATCCATGGAAGAAACCAGAAAAAAATCCTCTTTTACAGAGTATTACTCTTCCAGCTTACAATCATGTTTTTAAAATTCATAATATGTGAGTTGTTAGTGGTTGGATTTTTCCTGTTATTTTTATTCTAACTATAATCAAAGTAAATTGCCAAAGAAGTGAGGGCTGAACAGGGATCTTTCACATTAGATTAAACAGCATGGATACAGAGAGAAGTAATTATTGTGTTTGAGATAGTTAATAAGGGGCAGTGCCTGAATAAGCTGTCTTAATTTAACTTTCTCTCAGAGCCTTTAATTTTGCAGTGATACATTTCCTTTACACCAGTGCCTAGGAAACTCCAGCTGCAAGCCCTTGGCTCTGCCAGAGCTGCACTGAAGGGTGGAGGGAGGGGATGCAACATTTCTCTCCCTTCCCACTCCAAACCCTGAGACCAGCTAGGGACAGCACAGCCTCAGTGCCACCACAAATTTGCGTGACTTCATTTTTTACAACAGTTTGGTTCGCAGTGTGAAAACACTTTGTCTGGTCCCTCTTTTGGTGGGGGTCCAGAAAGGAGGTGTTTGATGCCAGTTCAGTTTAAATCGGTCTGAGTTACTAAATCGGTTCTTTGTACTGAGCTCCCATCAGAGCTACTAAACTGAGCCTTTGAATACCATTTAATGAAGTCACTGAGCCAAGCAAGTCAGATCTGGCATCTGAAAATGATTATGTTCTTGTAAATGTTCCCTGTGTCCCTGGTATTGTCCACACTTTGCAGATGGATTTTTGCCCAGCCTGACTTTGCTTGTCATCTGTCTTGATGGAGTCTGAAGCCATCTCATAGTGTGCTTTTCTGTAATTACCTCCTGAAGGTCGGGATGGCCAATATTTGGATGGATGACCTTAGAGGAATGCTGAAGTCATGCAGAAAGCAGGACAGCCGCCTTAAAAATTAGAGCCTTCCCCAAGGAATGCTGCTGAGGTAGGAATCCCAGTAAACACATCAAGAGCAAGGGAGACGGCTTAATATTGAGGACCATCTTTATGGTGCCACTCAATCTTCTCATGGACACTGTTTGAGATGTCCTGCACTGGCCTTCAGCACATCTATATTTATTCGGGTCTTACTTAAAGCTCTTTGTCTTCCAGCTGGCTACAGGAGCCTTTCCTTTCCACCATTGCATACCTGTTCATTGCTGTGCATGATCAAATGCCTTCCTCTCACATCCCAGGGTGAGCAATTACTTAGCACAGGCAGCATGGGGTATTCATTTAAATGAAATGCTTTTTGGAAATCCTGTGCCTAAAACTTGCCATATAAATGTAATGCATTGTAGGAAAAATACTGAGTGTAGGTATTAAAAATGAGGGCTTTTAGAGAGAAATGATGTATTTTTAAAAGCGATGTTCAGACAGCTTTAGCTTCTAATCCATGGGGGACAGGCCTGTGGGAATCCATTCACCATTACTACGTCTCCCATGATAGGTAACTAAAGCCAATTTGCCAGCAGGCTGATATGTCACCTATAGAAATCCATGTTTTTCCTGAAATACTTTAGACATCCTAAAAAATCTGCCACATCACAAAGTGACATAAAGAAAAGTGTTTGTGGCAAAAGCAACAGCAGCAGTAGCCAAAACTGGAAAAAAATTTAAATATATGTCAAATATTTAATTATTCTCTGCTCTCCCTTTGCCATCTTTGGCTATTGCTGCTCTTAAGCTCTCTGCTCCTTTCACTCATAGGTTTAAAACCTAAATAAAACACACTTGAAGAAACACTTTACATCTGCACATCTGCCTGGAGCAGCAATCAGCCCAATCCATGGAGCCCACCCATACTCAAACTGCAGTGCTTTCCCTCTGGGGAGGGTTTCAGTGCAGGGAAGGACTTTGGTGTCTTACCACGTGCTCGCTGCCGTCGGTGTGGTGGCACACCATCTGCTGATTTTGGTAATACTCCAGCTGCCTCTCCGCCAGATCCACGCGCTGCAACAGGTTCTCGATGAAGTGCTGCAGCCTGGCTTTCCCCCGCACTTCTTTTTCTGCTGCTTCTTCCAGGAAGTGGTTGAAAGTAACAACTTCTCTGCAAGATGGAAACATTGCAGAGAGGCCACATTTAGGTAACAGAAGGGTTCTGGTCTCACTGTTGTCAAAAATTACTGATGCTTCTCCTGTTTTTCATGGTGATAGCCTGTGGTGGCTCATTACTGTCCTTTACCTCCATCAAAATATTTCAAATTTTTTGTGGACAAGGCAAAAATCTGGAAACCCGAAAGCTGAATTTAAGTTTATGGGCAGTGGGTTTGGGGTGGGTTTTTTTTCCCCTTATTAGGTCTCTTGGAAATAGTCTTTAGTGGTCCACAGGGTAGAAATGTCACTAAGCATCAGCTCTCAAGGTGATGGAGACAGCTATATCTGCTTCCTTTTTTACTTAACCATGAGAATATCAGCACTGAAACAGGAAGAGAAACAGATGAACTCCCAAATTCATCTTCTTATTTCATCATAATCTTACAGTGGTAGTTTAATGTTGCTTCTGGGGTGGTTCCTAACTTAAAAGGGCTACTGTGGCCACTGAACTTCATTTTGGCTGCAATCCTGCAAGTATGTCAAAGAGCAGTGTTATGATCTGGAGCTGGTGGGAGCACAGGAGATTAACAGATAACCTAGAGATTACAGACCAAGGAGTGCATGTGTGGGAAGAGCAAGTTTTAGGCCAGGAGTTTAGAAACATGTCTTGTCTGGTAACACAAGTGGAAGGAACCAGGACAGAACTACTGACTGTGAAAGCTTATTTCGAACCCCTCTGCATACTATCAGTTTACTATCAGCAATCGGGCCACCATTTGCACCTCTGATATCACAGAGGTATCTGGGTGGGAGAAGTCTGGTTACAGATCGAAGCACGTTTTACAAAAAATGGCAAATCTGAACATGTAGGACTTCCCTGGTTAATAAATGCCAGGATAAATATTTCTTAGTCTGCCAACGAAACCATGTTAATTTTTGCTTTGTACAGAGCAGAGCGGGTGGGAGTTGAGGGAACTGGTTCTTGCCAAATGAGAAAGGGCAGGATTGCTTGGTAGAATTACATCGCCTGAGGAAAAAGCATTTTAAGTAGAAAGCAGGAAACAGTTTGTAGCAGAAATAACCTTTCAAAGCTTAGCTTGTTTGTGACAAATCCCAAGTTTTTCTGTTTCACTGTTTTAACTCAGAGTAGTGTAGGTAATCGGTTTAACGCAGTATAGTTGTTCTAACAGAGAGCTGTTTTGTGCTAAGAAGAGTTAGGTACAAGTGGTCAGCCATGGAAATTCACCACCTAGGATTCAGGCTGTGCCTGCCTGCTCCGTACCACAGCAGAGTGCTGCTTGCATGGCTGATCTAATGGCAAGAATGAGGTAAAAACAAGGATGTATTGTTTGGACGAAGGACATTGATGAATATTAGTTTATATTAACTCACCCACAAAACCTGGCTTAAGAAACAGAGAGGCTCCTTGTTTGTTAAACTCAGCTATTCCACTCCATTTCAAGGCTCTGTACAATTTCTGTGACTATTAGCTTGCCCAGAGCAACCTGATCCTAAAGAGCCACTGAGGAATGCTTAGGAACAAGCCAATTTAAACTCATTAAGGTCAGTTTTAGGGCTTTATTCTCACTGCACTTACAGCACTGTAACTTCTTTGATTTCATGATGCCACTCTGGTTTTGGATTAGTATAGGAGCAACCTGAAGTCCTTGGCGCTCCGTCAGGCTCCTCTTCTCCAGGGGACAGGAAGCACAAAAGGACAGAAACTCAGCAGGCTGGCTCCAAATCCCTTCCCCTTTGGGTAAGGAAGAGCTGTGCACAGCCTGGCAGGATGCTGGCCTTCCAGCAGGGAAGGGTGGGCGGCACAGGGAGCCACCAGCCTGGGACACTATGAGGATGTCCCTCCCGGGACATCCAGCTTGTGTGTCTCACTGCAGTGGGAAGCCACAAACATTGAGTACCTAGCATTTATTTTTAGAAGGGTGATAGTTTCAAAATGCTAACTTTTGTAACTCATTTGTCTCAGCAAATGTAATTATAAAGCATTCATTAATTGCCCGCTCTATGGCACAAATAATCACCAACAGATTTTCCTTTCCTACAAATATCTCATTAGATATGCCATAAGGAGGCCAGGGGGGAAGCAGTGTTTTTTCAGGTAGACTTAGATGACTATCAGGAGGAGAACAGGCTCATAATGGCAATAAATTCCCTAGTATTTTCCTTGCTTTCTAGACTACTAAAGATAACTTGGCATCCTACATGCCATTATTTGTTGGGACTGTTATTAGCAGCCGATACAGCATATCCATAATTTCTCTGTGTTTGTTTAGCTGCCTTGGTACAGCCTATGAACCTGCCTTTAACAACTTTAATGTAAAGATTTTCCTTTAGACTGAAATGTGCTCTGTAAATTCCCCTTAGAAAGACAGGAGCCAGAGCATACCCATGCATTAGGTCTTGGTCACATTCCTTGTCCTGATAAGCAGCACTTCTGTCAGTTCAGCTACTTTCTTTGTTTCCCTCTCATCTCTCAGAAGAACAAGATCAAGCTCTGAGGAACGACTACTAATAAACTCTCTCTACTTGCTCCAACGCTTCTTCCTCACATGCCCCTCCCGTGCCTTGGTTACCTGAAGGGAGTTCCCAGAAGAATTTTTACCCTCCTCTCACTGTTAACAACAGGGAAATGGATCAAAGAACTCACGCGGCTTCCCGCAGGTGCTGTTTGTCTGTCTAACTGCCTTCCTTGTCTCTTGTAGTTTGACCAACTTTTTCTCAGCCATACTGATTATGCTCTCTTCAATTCTGTTTCTGGATACCTGTGATGAGTTTTTGCTTACGTTCTTTATTTTAGTTTCAATTTTTCTCCAGGCCTCTGCCAAATTTTTGAGGACAATGTGAAAGGATTTCTATCTTTTACTCTCTGCTCTTATGCTCATGGAATGATGGATGTTCACAGGGGTCAGACGTGCTCCTCATGAAGTCAGGGGGAAGCTGAGGCTGTGAATATTGTGGGGCATAAACCAGAGCACAGCAGCACCAGCCCACTGAGCTCCGTTGACAGAACGGCCTTGTTAGCAACAGTCACTTGCAACAGGAATCATTTTGTTAAAGCCTGGCTCAGACCTGAAGCATTGCCCTTTCTAATGAGAGGTCTCTGCTACCCTGTGCTGACTATTCAACATCAGGAGCACTGCTGCTATATTGAGAAAAGGTTACATGGAGTTATTAACTCCCCTCTGCTCCCAGCACCATCTCTTTCCTGCTCTGCTCTTCTACCCAGCAGCCTCCTGCCCCCTTTCACCCAGCTCACCCTGGCACTTGCTGTAGCCCTATAAGCAATAGAACCTGGCACTAAATTTTATGAGTGGAGTAGATGATGCTCAGCGCAGCTTAGATCTCTTCAATTTCTGTAAAGGACGGCAGATTGATCTCATCTGTTTGCTTATAGTTTGATACACCAATACTAAAGTATGTTGTATGCAAAATGTTTTGTTAGAGGGCTGTGACTGGGCAGCAGGGAGAAAGATGGGTTTCTTACTTTGTCTTGGGTGCTCCTGTCAGACAAGACCTTTCAGGAAAAGGGAATTGCTGCTGCTGCCCAGGGAGCAGAGGGCACACTGAACTGCCAGCAGCAGGTGAGAGGGAAAGACAAGGGGCATGCAAGCTGAGAGGTATCCAAGAGGAGCAGGAGTGTTGTACTGGCCTGTACTGCCCGAGTGCCAGAGAAGAGCTGTGCCCAGAGCCAGAGGAGACCAAGGGAAATTTATCAGCAGGCGGCTCAGAGGTGTTCAGCTGCAAAAACAAATGCAGGGGGAAGGACTCACTATAGGCAAGAAAGACTTGCTGCCAAAGCTTTTATTTTGATCTGATTCTGCCGGGGAGTTAACTTGTTATAGTTAACCAAACTTAAGTTGTTTGGTGTTTTGCGTTCCAACTGCAGCCTAGCTGCAGAGAGCCTGCACTGAAACCTATCCCAAAACCTTTATGGGGGCTGTTACCATGAAATAGCATGAAATGTGGTCAGTAATGTTATAAGTGAGAGGCCTGCTAGGTGACATTTACTCTTTTGCCTTTACCACTAGGCTATGCAGTGTTCTTATAGGATGAGTGAGCTGCAGCTCTTGTTTACTGGACCAGTTGCTGGCACATGGACCCTGGGATACACTTGTATGGCTTTCAGCAGCTAAGCACGTGATGCATGCTAGTGATAGAGGCAGAGGGTGGGACAGCTCCAGCTCCTTAACACCTGTCAAGAAGGGCTAATGATTTCTCACATTGCACCCAAGCCCTCCTACTGATGCATAGTACTGATCCCAGGACTAATTACAGCAACTCTGACACCTGCAACTGCTCTGTAGGTGGAGACAAGCATGAGCCTCTATGCAGATTCTGCACCCAAGTGTCAAATCCCTTTAGAGAATTACATTTAGAGAAAACCAAACACATTATTTTACTTGAAGATGGGAAAATTCCTACTACAGTAAGCAGTAAAGTGATTTACTTGTAAAAATATTTAATATGTACATTCATTAAGTATTAATGCCACTGACCTTATCCACCATCCAATTGGTGTTACTGCCTGAAGGCTGCTCTGTTATTCATTAGGTTGGGGTTTCACATTCCCACACCACTATCAGCACATTTGATTTAAGAGGTTCACACCTCCACTCTCAGAAAGTTATTGCACCCATTCAGGCTCAGATCTGAGCCCTGAACTTAGTGGGGTGACACTGAAGATTAAAATGCTTTATTTCACAGAGCCATTCTGTGGGACAGTCACGCTAGGCTTGAACCTGTGCAGCTGCCACGGGGGAGTAATCTCTCCAGTGGGAAGATGAAAGAAAAGGAGAGAGGGAGCACCCTAAAACTGAGGGTGGAAGAACAATGTTTAATTGCAGTTTTATTCTACTTAAAGTAAATCAAAACTGTTTTGCTGTACAACTGTAATTCATGTATTAAGGAAAGCTGTTTTAAAGCATAAATTGCAATGACCTCTAAAAGCCAGCTCTTAATGCCATTGTCAAGACATTATTTGCACAGATAATTTCA